AGAATGGAATTTTAACTGTTCGGCCAATTTATTTATATCTTTTTTATAACACATTTTGAACGTAGGACCACGTTCTTGTGAGATACCTTATTCCCAACCCCCAGTGACTCGGCGGCATGTGTGAGGAATTATAACGCTAAAAATCGGGTTTCGCGTACTCTCAGATAGCCCATTGTGGTAAGTTTGCTCTTAACAACAAACAATCCCGAAGAAGAAGAAGAAGAACAAAAATAACACCACCATCTGGAAAATATAAACTGACTTTTAAATATTTTTCAGAAATTAAATTAGATTCTATCATGGCACTGGAATTATACGAACGATGAACCATATCTGAACCGTAGAGAATAACAAATCCTGTAACGCTCGGATTCACTTAGTTAAACTTGCAACACACCTGATGAAAAACGTGAGAAGTTGTTACTCTCGGTCGTAGCGACTTCAACTAACCCTCATAGCCTTAATAACATCGACTCTGATGGCGACCAAAACAAGACTCGCATTTCAAAGAGATGCTGCTTGTTTACTGACGTAAGGTTTTTTTTTTTAGTTCGTTTGACCAATGAGATCGGCCCATTTTCCTCGCAACTCATCCCTAAAAACGTGCCTTCAGACGTGTCTGTCTGTTCGTTTTAGAGCAAAGCCGCATTGGGCTATCTGCTGTGTCCAACGCGGGGAGTCGAACCCTGGATTTTAGCATTGTAAGTCTGTAAACTTCAGATGTGTAATAGATGAAATAAGTCCAGTTTTAAACGGAACATATACGATACAAACATTGTAGTATTTAGATGTTTCTACACACTGCGAATAAGAATCCTATCAAAAGTAATTAATAGTGTTTCTCTCCCCCCCCCTGTAATGCAGCGGTGGGATTGAGGGCTTACAACCACGGAATTTGGAGTTCGATCCCCGTAGCGAATATAGCTCAGATAAACCCATTGTGAAGATTTGCGCTAAAACAAACAGTTTTTTAAAAATCTACTTTATTCAATACTAAAACAAGCTAAAATAATACATATATATATTCAAATATTACATTAGTTGTTAATGAATTATGTCTCACGTGCACAATAGTTTATAAACGATAACAAAGTTTTCTAGACCTTATTTTCGTTCGTATAATATGTGAACTGAATAGCGTAAAAGTTACAAACTAGCAACTGATAAAATAAGATTACCAGGCGTTCCAGGAAAACTGAGATAGTCCTAGTTTTTAGCCTTTATATATATATATATATTGTCCTGATGAGAAACAGTAAAACTGTTAAATTGTCCCAGTTTCTATGTAACTCAATGTGAGTGTGATATTTACGGCTTGTCATTATGCACGACTCTTTTAAATTTTACTTGATGAATCATCTTGCAAAGACAAATGAAACCGTACAGTATACACTCCCACTCTGCTACGTGTTTCCTAAGCCTAACTTTATCATTGGACAGCAGCCGTAATTGAGATTTGAAGATCAGCCCTGCCGCGAAACAGAAAACGAAGAATTAGGTTCAAAACAACTTAGGCGCGTATTTTATTTATTATTTTCTTCTAACTAGCTACAATTTTAATAAGTTTTGTTTGTCTGTGATCTTAAAACGCGATACAACAAACATCGGATTACCTAGCAGCTGGCAGGAAGTGTGTTATTGTAACTTAACACTGTTTCAGAGCTGTTACCGTGTCACTCCGCATGGGAAAAGAAGTCCCAGTTTTTAAACTCTGGAAATCTGGCAAGCCTAGTAACGAGGCCTAGCGATAGGCCTAGAAATAAATACATCTGTCTGCTCGTGCATTCCTGTTGGACATACCAGAGATTTGGCTGTCCAATTAAACAGGTCGTGTTTCGATAAGAGCTTTGATCCCAGCAATAGATATTTTAAACAAACCAAAATAATTTTATTGTTTTATGTATAGACAACTTACTGTGATCTCAATTATGTTAGTGTACAAATTATTTCTTTGGTCCTTTTTTTGTTTATTAACTTTCTAAAGTATTTTACAGCACAACCTTATTATTATTAAGCTGTTTTCGTGCACCAGCTAATCACTGTCTTTATTATTATAATCACAGTCCGGATTTTTTTTATTGGTCCGTTTCCTTCGAGTCGCGTGACGTGAAAAAAAGGGTCTATTTTAGCGAAGAAAAGATTTCTCAAAGCGACGCCGCTTGAATGTTTATATTTCTTGTTGACTACAGTCGCACGCTGCTGAATGTTTATGTTTCTAGTTGACTACAGTCACACGCTGCTGAATGTTTGTTTCTAGTTGACTACAGTCACACGTTACTGAATGTTTATGTTTCTTGTTGACTGGAGTCGCACGCTGCTGAATGTTTATGTTTCTAGTTGACTACAATCACACGCTGCTGAATGTTTA